TTGCCCCTTATTATGTAGTGGTCATGACTCCAAAGATTATGTCTAATGAGAAACTTATATATGTTGCTGACTTCTGTATGTCTTGTGGTAACAGAAACATGTTGCTGATTTCTATATATCAGACTTTCAGACTGGATTAAGAGCACTGGTGAAGGCCGGTTATGGAGCAAAGGTGGCGCCGTTCGTAAAACCAATAACAGTTGTTGATATAACAAAGAGTAACAGGGAGTTATCTCCCAACTTCCTAAGATGGCTTGCTGATCGGAGCCTCTCAAGTGACGACCGTGTAATGCGACTGAAAGAAGGGTAAGTTGAGTTAGTTCTTCGATTCGTATACTTCTGTACTTCTGTTACTCTACCTAAGGTTCTTGATGGTTTTTTGAAATTACAGTTACATCAAAGAAGGGAGCACCGTTAGTGTCATGGGCGTTGTAAGGCGCCAGGAGAACGTGCTAATGATTGTTCCACCAGCCGAGCCTATTTCAACAGGCTGTCAATGGACCCGTTGTCTCCTTCCAACATACGTAGAAGGTCTCATCTTGACCTGTGATGACATTCAGAATGCCGATGTAATTCCTGTATAGGTTGGATCGTATAATACAAATTTTGATTACCCTATGAGTTATGGCGTCACGATGCCAGCAAAGCTGCCTTGTTTGGGTCCTATGCAAATATTCAAGTGTATGTAAGATTGCATAGCAGAACAGAAGCAGGCAAAACTGATATCTTGATGTCTAAAGTTGGTAGTCCTATGTATTTCAATGTTGGCCGGAGATAGTAATACCACTTGGAATTAGTCGAGGTGTGTGCAAGCTGACCTGGACAACACGGTTATCCAAAAAAAAGGACCTTCCTCCCTCGAGCAGCTAAGCGTGTTGTATCGTGTAGATTTTATATCTAGTTTGGTTTTTAGTTGCAATATGTATATTAATTGTTATGTTTATAGCTTACTTTAGCTTTTCATTTCATGTGAACTTTTGGCTAAGCGTGTTGTAACGTTTGAACAAAAAAGCCAGTAAAAGTAAATATAATAGCTTCGCTGTATAGCATTCATTCACTATAAAAGCAAAATTTCTTTTGGAATCAATTTTCATGCTATGTTATAATATATGTTCTTAATAATAGTACTTTGTTATTACAACCAAAAATATTAGGACACCAAAAAATTAGGAACATATGAAGTTGTTATAGAGACTTTTGATTGTAATACTAACCAAAAAGGAAAAGAAAGAAGAAGTCGACATTCTAATTTATCCACTATAACAATGAAGTGAAAAGTTCTTTTTATTCTATTAAAGCAATTGAATTTTGTTGATTGAAACAATAAAATAATTAATAATCATTTTGTTAACTTAGCTTTACACAAACAAGAGTCACTATACTTTATTCATTAATGATAAATATTTCCATCAATGCAAGTATATTAGATAAAGTTTCTTGTTTTTACTGCTTTTTTTACTTTTAGTCCGTGTCAGAAATTATTTATATTTGATAACCTAAAAAATGTATAAAAGTTGTATAAATTTTATATATAACATACAAAATGTAGATAAATACAAAAAAAATATACATTTCTCTTTTTAATTTCTTTCTGTTTTTTTTTTAAGCTTTGTACTACGTTTTAGACTGTTATAACAAGTAAATTAATTTTTGACAAGATAACACTAAACAAAACTAATATTTCTGACAATTCTTAGAAGCGCGAAATGGCTGGGCTCCTGCCTCCTTAACTGAATAACTGAATCAAGATTCCATTCATTCCCCTGTGAACTTTACACTCTCTCTCTCTCTCACACACACACACACACACACACAGAGCTTACTAGAAAGGGAGACTAAATTTTCAAGACTCATTGAAGGGAGCTAAGATAAAGGAAAAAAAATGAGAATGGGTAAAAGAAATGATCAAGATTTCTTGATTTTGTATATTGTAGGATTATTTGCATTTATGGGAATGTTGACAAGGTGTTGTAGTAGTGTAGGAGTAAACTGGGGTACAATGGCAACTCAACAATTACCACCAAAAAGTGTGGTGAAAATGCTGAAAGATAATGGATTTGATAAAGTGAAACTGTTTGAGGCAGATGATAATATTTTGAATGCTTTAGTTGGTACTGATATTCAAGTCATGCTTGCTATTCCTAACTTCATGTTACATGATATGAGTGCTGATCCTTTAATGGCTGCTTCTTGGGTCCAAGAAAATGTCTCTGCTTATGCCTACACTGGTGGTGTCAAAATCAGGTTCAAAAGTTTCATTTCATATCCTCCTAGTTTCTTTAATTTTATCTTCTTTTACTAAAAATCATTGAAAAACAAATGCATTAGTTTCATACCAGGTGGTTCATCTTCCCATCTGCCTATACGGTAGAATTATTCGGTACCTGTGCTGATGGGAGGTTGCAGGGACCTGGTGGAATAGTCGAGGTGTGTGCAAGCTGGCACGGATAGCATTATCATAAGAGATGCAATAGTTAAATACGTAGGTGATTTCTTCCCATCTGCTTAAGTGGCAGAATTATTCGGTACCTGTGTTGGTGGGACGTAGCAGGTACCCGGTGGAATAGTCGAGGTGCGTGCGATCTGACCGGATAGCATCATCATAAGAAATGCACTAGTTATGTAGTTTGTAGAGGTTTGTGCAATTAATCTCCAAGAATTTCAATTTATGTCTTCGCAAAAATCATAGCTCGAGCAATTTCACTTTGGTTTTTATTTGGTATGATGACGACAAGAGTAAGAGTCAAACGGAGAATCATGGTCAATGAGGATTCGTACAACGGAACCCAAATTATTTAAGACTGAGGCGTTGTTGTTGTTATACATAGGTAGACGAGGTAAGGGAAGGGGAATAGGGACAATATAAGAATTGAATCCACATCTGTTGTGGTTTGAACTTCCATTAGCCCTTGGTTGTTCAAGTATTTTCCTTTGTTTTATCAACATATATGGAAGGAGAGTCTTGGCGTAATTGGTAAAATTGCTGCCATGTGACCGGAAGGTCACGGGTACGAGCCGTAAAAACAGCCTCTTGCAAAAGTGCAGGGTAAGGTTGTGTACAATAGACCCTTGTGGTCCGGCCCTTCCCCGAACCCCGCGCATAGCGGAAGCTTAATGCACCGGGCTGCCCTTTTTTTTTTTTAATCAAAATATATGCACTTGTTAAATAGGAGGATTCTTGAGAGTTGCTTTTAAATTTCTAAATAGCTTTTCTCAGTTTCAATTCTCAAATGAATGTAGGTATGTGGCAGTAGGAAATGAGCCATTTCTTCGAACATACAATGGGACATTTCTGCCATACATATTACCAGCTCTGAAAAACATTCAAGAAGCCATCAACAAAGCAGGATTAGGGTCAGAGGTAAAAGCAACTATTCCATTCAATGCTGACATTTACTTCTCCCCCGAGTCAAATCCAGTTCCTTCTGCTGGTGATTTCAGACCAGAAGTACGCGATTTAACCATGCAGATTGTTCAATATTTGTATTCAAATGATGCTCCTTTCGTCGTTAACATCTATCCTTACCTCAGTCTCTATGGAAACATCTACTTTCCATTAGACTTTGCCTTTTTTGATGGCTCAAACAAGCCTGTTAGGGATGGCGATTATGTTTACACTAACGTGTTTGATGCCAATTTCGATACTCTTGTTTGGTCATTGAAGAAAGCTGGTTTTCCTGAAGTGAAAATCGTAGTTGGAGAAGTAGGGTGGCCAACAGATGGAGATAAAAATGCAAATATCGAAAATGCTATGAGATTTAACCAAGGATTGATTCAACATTGTTTGAGTGGACAAGGAACACCAGCTCGGAAGGGCAAAATAGAGGTATATTTATTCAGCCTCATTGATGAGAACGCGAAAAGCATTGCTCCAGGTAACTTTGAGAGGCATTGGGGAATCTTTGAGTTCGATGGGAAGCCAAAATACGAGCTAGATTTATCCGGGAAGATGCAGAAAGATAAAGGGTTGGTCGCAGTAGAAGGTGTAAACTATATGCACAAAAGGTGGTGTGTATTAAAACCAGACAGGGTAGATAATGCAGAAGAAGACTTGCCTAAAAATATTGATTACGCGTGCAGTCTTTCAGACTGCACAGCTTTGGGGTATGGTTCTTCCTGTAACCATCTTAGCGCGAAAGGGAATGCTTCCTATGCTTTTAACATGTATTATCAGTTCAAGAATCAGAACAGTTGGGACTGTGATTTCGATGGCTTGGCTATGGTGACTAACAACGATCCATCTGACGATAAGTGCCATTTCCCTGTGATGATTTCTGTAGGTCATTCAATGGTGTTGTTGCAGAAGAGATTACTATGTATCATATACTTGTTGCTATTCTTGAGGGATGTAGTTTAGTAGTCTTGTTGCTAGAGAAGTCAATTTGAATACAATGCTGCAGATGACTTTTGTCTGTCTTTCTTTTCTGTTTCATCAACTTCCTTCCCACTTATGTGCATATATTGACAGTTGACATGATATGACAAGGTTTATTAGACTATTATAGGTGAAACTAGTCCAACATTGGATTTGTAAAGCCATCAGAATTTAATTATCTAGCTAGGTAGAAGGCTAGGTAGCCGAGCGTTGTCCTTGCTCGTTACAGTAGTTTTAATGCATTCCTCAGTGTTAGTCTTGCATTTTCTTATTATTAGATTTCTGTTATTACTTATTGTTTCTTTCGCTTCGGTTTCTGTTTGGTTTACTGGTGTTGTTTCTTGCTGTTACTCCTTCCTCTCTATCTTTCCTGAGCCGAGGGTCTTTCGGAACCTCTCTACCTTCTTAAGGTAGGGGTAAGGTATGCGTACACTCTACCCTCCCCAGACCCCACTAGTGGGATTACACTGGATTTTTTGTTGTTGTTGTTGCTATTTAAAACAGTATTTCTATTGCTGTAATTTGCTGGTGAAGCTGTTTTTACTGGTTTCTAAAGCTGCTTTAAATGCTGATAATGTGCTTTGCTATTGAGGGCGGGATTTGGGGAAAATTAATCAAGAGTATAATTATGAAAAGAAAGGGTTCACTAAATGCAAGGAAAGAACAGTGAAGGGGAGAACATAGTACCCCTTGTATTTCAAGTGTAGTTTTAAAAACAATGAAAGGAGCACAAAGACTATGATTCTTAATATCATTGTAGTTTCCTCTTATGGAGAAGCGATAACGAGATTATAAAAGATGGGGCGAGGACCTACAAGAAAGATGCTACAGTCTTGCATGCATTCCACCAGCAACTACAAGAGTTTCTCCTGTTACATAAGCAGCATCGTCTGAAGCCAGATAGGCAGTAGCCGCGGCCATGTCTTGTGTTGTTCCGAGCCTATTGAGTAATGTCTTAGCCTCAAGTTCTCTCCTCTGAAGACAATCAGCATCCAGAGTTAATAAACTGTGAACTTGATCAAATTTCAACCGACGACAGATAGAGATCTAAAATTATGAGAACATACCACATTAGCATTTCCCGTGATAAATTCAGCAAAATGTGTGGGTACAAAACCTGGCGCTACACAGTTCACACGAGTATTTGGAGCCATTTCAGCTGCGAGAGCCTGAAAGCAAACAAGTTAAAAGGAAACTAATAGAAAATCAGGAATTTGCACCATATGGCCTTTTATGAGGCCACTCTTTAAATTTTGTCCTTGTTAGCCCAGTGGACTAAATTTCGTCTTCGAAAGTAGTTGAATGAATATTTCTTCTTAGGCTAATGGGGACGTAATTTAAATAGTGCCCGAAGAAAAGGCCATTTGTGCAAATGCCCCAATACAATGTGGTTACTTGATATGCCAATAATGCCACAATAAGTACCTTGGTCAATCCGAGAAGGGCTGTTTTTGTTACTCCATACATTCCCATGGCAGCTGGTGGCGTATAACCAGCAATAGAGGAAATTATAACAACTGACGAACCCTTCTGAAGGTAAGGAGCTGCATCCTGTAAGTGGTTAAAAGAGTAAAATATTATGTGCCGTGCCAAGAACAATTAAAAGTAATATTAGGACAATGCAATCCAGAATAAAATAAAACATGTAAAACAACTACGCTTCAATCCCAAACAAGTTGGGGTCGGCTGTATGAATCCTCAGTGACCATGTTACTCCATTTAGACTCATCTCACGCCAATATTACGCATATACAAATTGAAACATGTGATAAAAAGAAAATATTAGCATTGTCTAATGTCCTCAATAGAATTTTCTAGACGCACACATGAATATGAAACATTTTTCTCTTGAAGATATTCATATCAAATGACTTACTTGAAGCAATAATATCGCGGCTTTCACGTTGATGTCCCACAACTTGTCAAGGACTGGTTCTTTAATTTCCAATATCGCATCCACAGTGGGATTTACAGCAGCATTTGACACAATGACATCTAATTTCCCGTATCTCTGGAAATGACAAATTTCAATTAGCAAAATTGGATTAATCACAGAATCCTTTAGTCATCTTTCACACTTCGAAAGTAGACACAGCTATTATCCCAAAGAAATAGTTTTAACCTCCAGGAGATTAAACACACTCTGATTGATGTTCTCAGTCTGAATAACAAAGTTTTTGTAAGAAATCAACAATTAAAAATCCTGCGTAATAAAAACTATAGTAAAATAACCGAAGGGGTTGAATACCACTAAAATGAAGAGAAGAGCAAAGTTTCATGACAAAAATCAAAATCATGAGACTTAAGAAGACTTCTGCAGAACAACCGTATTATCCTCTAGATGGAACTGTATTATCATAGAAGTCAGATTCAATCCGTACAACCATTGATCCTCTTAATTTGATACTTAACACAAATAATATACCAAAAGAACCTGGACCAAATGCGATTCATATCAGTACATGATGAGACAATGGACGCACAAATATCTGTAAGGATTAGTCTCCTTTAAGAGTACTATAGCGTCATCCTACACCCTTTTTATTAAAGTTTAATTGGTGCCTTGACTAATAGTTAAAAAGAATAAGAAGAGGGAAACTTGCACTTGTCATGCTCTCTGGAAATATACTTGTGAATAGATTATTAAACCACCTTGGTTTACGTTTACTACTCTTAGTTCTTGCTTGAAGAATTTATACGTGTGAATAGACTATTAAACCACCTTGGATTATATTACTACTCTTGGTTCTTGTTTGAAGAATTTATACGGAATGCTAATACCTATTAAGATTGACATTCCAGAAATTGATCAGTCAAGACGGCACTTTTCCATCGCTCCTTTCTGACTTGATTGACACTAGACTCATATCTAACATCTTCACCATGTAGAGACAACACGAAGTTCTTATTCAAACGTTAGCTGAAATGGCTCTATCTCTAGCCGAAGAGGAGAGCATCCATTTTTGAAAAGAGTAAACATCAATCACTCAAATATAATGACACAGTATCCCCATGATTGAAGAGCCATTGAGGCAAAGCATATCCAGGCATTCACTTTACACACAAGGAGTTTGCTAACTAAATATTTGCTCGTATATGATGAGCGACAACTTCTCAATAGAAAATAATCTCTATTCTACTATTAGACAACCTCACAATTGCTCAAGAAGAGCTCAAACTAGACCCCCAAAAAAACTAAATTAGTACCATTCACTTCCAAAAAGAGCCAGTGAAGAATTCAGGCACCAACAAAGGTAAAAACACATTGGACCTCAAAATTCTCAATTGATTAATTAAACAAGGTTTAAATACATTAGTGTACACACCTGGATGGTCTTGTCGACCAAATTCTTCCTCTGTTGTGCATTGGACACATGACATACTACTCCAAAAACTTCAATTCCTCGATCACTGAGTTTTTGTACTGCTTCATCCACATTTTTCTGTAAAATGAACAGATTAAAAGAACACCTCAAGTCAAAACACCAAATGCACACACAAGCAATCAATTTATATATAGTTCAAAACTTATCGACATATGAAATTCTTGAAAAAATCAATTTTTTCAATAAACACCCATCAAATACGCAATCAAAGACATAAAAAGCACCAAACTTTGGCCAAATTAGAAACACCCAAATGAAGATTTCACATAAACTTCACAAGAAATGATGAAGTATCAACGAAAATCTGAAATAATCAAACACCCATTTCAAAATATAAAAATCTAACACAGAAAAAGCTTAAAACTTTGGCCAAATTAGAAACATCCAATAAAGAATTAAAGGAAACTTTACTAGTAATGCTAATTTCTATTTTTCTGTTTAAGCATCAGGTACACTGGCCAACTAATCGTGATTCGTGCCACTTAGGACCCATTAAAGAGGACCCATTAAAGGGGACAGAGGCGGATTTAGATTTTGTGGGTTCAACTTTTAATGTTTTTAGCATTGAACCTATTGTATTTTTTAAGTTATGGGTTCAGACCTACCATTTGTTGTAATTTTAATAAATTTTTATACAATAAATTTATACTGCGCGGCAAAAGTACTGGATTCAGATGAGGGCAGTCATACTCTACCTCCGCCCCCGAAAGGGGAGACGCTGCCAGGAATTTCTCCATTCCATTGCTCGAACCCGAGATCTCTAGTTAAGGGTACTTAGGGAGATAATTGAAACATCAACAGTAAATTATGTGAAATGATGAAAAACCAATTTTAGAAATTGCAATCAAATACAGAAAAAAAGCATCAAACTTTGGCCAAACTAGACAGACTCATTAGAAGAATTCACTGAAACTTAACAAGAAATTATGAAATACATTAACAAAGAATCATCTGAAACATAAAATAAAACAAAAAAAATTAATTTAAAAAAAAAAAACGAACCTGTTTTCTGGAGGAGATAACAACAGAAGCACCTTCTAAACCAAGCCGTTCAGCTATGCTAAAGCCTATACCCTGTGTAGAAGCTGTTACAATTGCCACTTTTCCTTGAAATCTTTTTCCAAATTTCTCCATTGCTGACTAATAAGCTCAAACACTTCAAAAGAAAAAGTTAAAGAGAAAAAAAAGGTGCTAATTTTCTTGTTGGAGATAGAAATCCAATAGTTTAATACTTCTGAATTATTGGGAAAGGGACTATTTTTATTCGGATTCGGATCTTTGGCCGTTGATGATTATGAAATTTTCTACGTATTTTTACTATGGGGAAATAAGTTTAATATATTTTAAGGCCCACACCTGTTTTGTCTGTGTATTAAAGTGGTAAAATATCATGGTATAGCCAGTTTTCACACTGGTCAATGAAAAATAGCCAGCGTTTATCAAGTTAATGAAAAATAGCCACTATTTTGCTGCAACAGGGACCGGTCCAGTATAATATACGGGAGTTCTGGCGTATTTGTATACGAACTCCAGCATATTATGCTGGACCGGTATACTTTGCTAACTCCTGTAAAATTTGTGGGAGACTGGAGCACCAGTGCTCCAAACTCCAGTATATTATACTGGACAATTATACTTGCTGGAACTCCCGTAAAATTTGCGGGAGTTCCAACATAGTTATCCTGGAACTCCCGTAAAATTTACGGGAGTTCAAGCATACTTATGCTGGAACTCCCGTAAAATTTGCGGGCGTATTTTTCCGGATTTTGAACAGTGTTTTCGCTCAGATTTAAAGTGGCTAAATTTCGATGACTTTTGAAACTTGGCTATTTTTCAACGACCAGTGGTAAATCTGGCTATTTTTGAATTTCTTCCTATTAAAGTAGCTGATAAATTCAAAGAAGCAAATTTGATAAGTTCAATGAATTAACAGCTTGTTTGGATGGTTGTTACCCATTGTATTGTATTGTTATTCCAAAATAATGTTTGTTTTGATTGTTTATTTAAAATTGGTTGTATCATAGTGTTAAATCCATTTTTTCGGAACAACCAAAAGCCCTATTTTATGAAACAACTGATTTGGTGTGGTGGGATCGTTTCCTATTTTCTTTTCCAATTGTGCCCTTACTTATTACTCTATAATTCTATTTTTTTATTTTATTTTAACTACAAATCGCCAACCTATTGACCTACTTTATCATCTTCCATCTTTTCTAGAGTTGGTTTGCCCCGTTCTTATTATATAAGTCTCTGTTAAATCTTTTGTTTCTTTCCATCGTTATAATTAATTTTTTTGTTGCTAATATTAGTTAACCTTTTTTTCCAGGTTTTTGCTCTTGTTTTCAAGCTACATAATTAATCATAAATTAGTAGAAAGAGGTTGTCTTAAGTTATCTTTATGTGTAGTTCTTGATAAATTTTATTTAAAACAATTGGGGGTATTTTAGTGAACTTATCAGTTACAGTACGGTACGATACAGTCAAACCAAACAACAAAATGTTATTTAACAACAACAAACGATACAATCTATTCAAACATTGTATCCATAAAACGATATAATACAATACAATACAATACATTATAAAACAATGGATAACAATAATTCAAACATAGTGTAAGAGAATCTTACAAAAATTCCTAGTTGGGAAATTTAGTGGGCGTTTGGACATAAGAATGTAAAATTCTTTAAAAAAGTGGAAAAAAAACTTCAACTAAAAATGGATTTGAAAATTAGAGTTGTGTTTGGACATGAATATAATTTTGGGTTGTTTTTGAAGTTTTGTGAGTTATCTAAGGTAAAATTTTAAAAAATAGCTTTTTGGAGTTTTTCAAATTTTCAAAAAATTTCAAAATTTATCTCCAAGCGAAAAGCGTAAAATTTATGATCAAACGCTGATTTC